ACTAGCAGAGAGTCTTTCCCCTTCCAGTCTTTTTTTCCTGCAGACAGGCTCTGGAGTTCCCAAGGGCTGGTCTGAGGGTTAAAGACTGAAGCAAAGGTGGCATTCAGCAGCTCTGCCTTCTCTGCATCCTCAGTGAACAGGGCTGTGCCTCACTCAGCAGTGGGCCTGCACTTCCCCTGTTGGTCCTTTTACTACTGATATATTTGAAAAAGCCTTTTTTTTTTTTTCTCTTTTACTTCCTTTGCTAGTTTTAGTTCTAAGAGGGCTTTGGCATTCCTTACTGCCTTCCTACATGTCCTGACTAACTCCCTGTATTTCTCCCAAGTGACAAGCCCCTTCTTACATGAGCTGTGCACTTCTTTCTTCCATGAGATTTCTTTCAGAAGCTCCCTGCTCATCCATGCAGTTCTCTTAGCCCATAGACCCAACTTTTTACACATGGGAACACACCTGTCTTGGGCTTGGAGGAAGTGATATTTAAAAACTGACCAGCTTTCTTGGGCCCCTTTACTCTCCAGAGTATTAGCCCATAGGATTCCCACAAGTAGATCTTTGAAAAGTGCAAAGTTAGCCCTGCAGAAGTTCAAGGTTATAAACTTACTTGTTGTCCTGCTTCTACCTTGTAAAACACCAAACTCCACCATGTCATGGTCACTGTCTCCAGGGCTATTCCCAACCTTAATGTCCCCAACCAGTCCTTCTTTATTTGTTAATACAAGGTCTAGCAGTGCACCTCTTCTTGTCGGTTCCTCCACTACCTGCATTAAGAAGTTCTCATCAATGCACTGCATGAGCCTTTTCGACTGAACTTGCCTGGCTGTGTGGGATTCCCAACAAATATCAGGGTGATTGAAGTCTCCCATGAGTACCAAGGAGTGTGTTCTAGAGGCTACCTCAAGCTGTCTGTAGAAGGCCTCATCAACATCTTCTTGGTTTGGTGGTCTATAGTAGACTCTGACAACAGCGTCCTCCCCCTTCGCATGTCCCTTAATTCTTACCCACAGGCTCTCAACCTGTTCCCCCTCTCCCCACAGACAGATCTCAATACATTTCAGTTGCTCTTGTACATAAAGGCAACACCACCGCCTTGCCTTGTCATTCTGTCTTTCCTAAGCAGAGTATAGCCACCCATGACAACATTCCAGTCATGGGAGCTGTTTCACCATGTTTCAGTGACTGCAATTATATCATAGTCATGCAACCTAGTGCAGCCCTCCAACTCCTCCTGCTTGTTCCCCATACTCCGTGCATTGGTATATAAGCATTTCAGAGAGGGAGTTAACCCACCAGTTTTCATTTTTGCTGTCTGACTATTCCTGGCTACTACCATGCTTACTAACTTGCTGGCGAGTCCTGTCTTACTGCCATTGTCCACCTCAAGTGGGACAGTGGGCTGCAGACTGTTCTCAGGCATGTCTCTCATGAACCTGGTGTTATCCCCTTCCCCCTTCAAAGCTAGTTTAAAGCACTGTCATCAAGCCCTGCCAACTCCTGTGCAAGGATCCTTTTTCCCCTTGGAGACAGGTGTGCTCCATCTGCTGTCAGCAGACCAGCTGCCATATAAACCTCCCCAAGATTAAAGAACCCAAAATTCCAACAGTGGCACCAGTCTCTGAGCCATGTATTAATCAGGTGTGTTTTCCACCCTCTTTCAGTGTTTTTCCCTTCCACTTGAGGGATTGATAAAAACATCACCTGAGCACCTGAAACTTGGACTAGTCGCCCCAGCGCCTTGAAGTCCTTTGTGAGAGTCTTTAGACTCCTCTCTACAACCTCATCATTACCTACCTGAATAACTAACAAGGGGTGATAATCAGAGGGCTTCACCAGAGCAGCAATTTGCCTTTTAATACCTCTAACCCGAGCCCCTGGGGGAAAGCAGACCTCCCTGTGATGGGTCTGGTCTACAAATAGGCCCTTCTATTCCCCTCAGAAGAGAGTTGCCCACTACAGTTACCCTCCTTTTTTTCTTAATCAAAGAACTCTTGATAGGCTGGGGTGAGTAACAAGCTGCATGTGAGTCATGAGATTGATCCTCATTTCCATCTCCATTTGGCTGGCCATCAAGTTCCAAAGACCCATACCTATTAGATAACAGTAGTTGAGAAGGTGAACTGAGCTGAGAAGGTTTTTGTTTGCCCCTCTGAGGAGGGACCTCTTTCCAATCCCCCTTGTCCCTTATGTCCCCTCCTTCTGCCTGATGACAGGAGGGGTGGGGGTCCTCCACTTCATGCAGACCCTCTCCCTGTTGGCTTTGCCTCAGAGTGTGGCTCAACTGATCTATCTCACTTTCACACTCTGTTCCTTTTCAATCTATCTACTTCTCTCAGTTCAACCCCCTGCCTGAGCAGGTCGTTCATCTGATCACACTGCACACACGCAGCATCGCTGCCCCCCTCTGCCTCAAGGGCCAGGCTCAGGCACTCGCCGCATCCCGAGGCCTGAAAAAATCCGAAGCCCCCACGCTCGCCCTCACGGCGCCGGACCTGCCATAGTCATTCCTCCGCGTAGCTCTTACCCGTGGTGCGACCGTTATCGCTTTGGCTGGGAAGGAACCAACTGCTTTGTGCTGACTCTCCCACACCCTGCTCTCGGTTGCTGCCCCACGAGCTGCAGAGTGACAGCAGCCCGGTGCTCTCGCAACCAAGCTCTCGTGTCTACCCCTCATTCAAAGCAGGCACCGGGGCTCTCGGCTCCGCCCGGGCCGCCTCAGCAGCCCGCCCAGCAGCTGCCAGCCGCCCAGAGCCGGCTAGCCGCTGCCTTTCCTTCAGAAAGCCCCCAAAAAGCGCTCCTTGCTGGTCCCTTTCGCCATAAATTCCCTCCCCAGGGAAGGTCTACCTCCACTGGAGCTGGTCTCCACGCCGAGTGACCGTTGGCGTGTTTACGCCTCGTTCAAACCAGTAACACAGAAGATCCCTTCTCATCAGTGTGAGACCCCAGCTTCTAAATAAAATACGTAAAAAGCATCAGCTGTTCAAAGCTTTAGCAGGACTAGGATCACTAAGGACTTCATTCTGCACTGAAACCACTGAGGTTTTAAACACAGGACATTCTCTTAAAGCTACAGAGAAATGACAGTAAGCCATGCATACCAACAACATTGAAGATGGCAACCAAAAAAATGTAACTTTTTACAGTACATTTTAGAATTTTAAAAGCAGTTTGCACGTTGGTGGCGAGTATGGCATTTGGGGGAGCAACTACAGAGCTCTTGAATCCATCTCAGATGAAGTATTATTTGGAAAAGTATATTTAATCCACGCCAGCAAGACGACTGGCCCTCAGCTGCTCTGTCTGAGTCAGTGATGCCCTACAGTAAAGCTGCAAGTTTGCTTTTACAGATGCAGGCTTTCTTCAGCTGGGGAGTTTCTAGACTAGCCCAAGGAATGAATTAATCTGTTGTATTTGCTTTAAACACTTGCACAAGTACCTTTCACATGGGAATAACCGTGCTTCATTTTTACCTTATGCAATTTGGGAAAATGTTAAAGCTAACAAAAAAAAGCCACTCATCACTGGGGGGAAAAAAAAAAAAAAAAAAAGACTCCACGTGGGGCTTAGAGGACAACTAGTAAAAACTTTCCCCTTCAGACAAGGCCACAGCTATTTCCTCAGCTAAGAGGTCAGAATTTGGCCCTTGAATTTAACCACTGCCCGTGTTTGTTTAGGCACAACCGGCCTCTCGTGCTCTCAGCCTGCTCCCACTGACGATGACAAACCCCACCTTCACTAACGAGGAAGTGGGCTTGGATTTATGGGCAACATTAAAGGCCACCATGAAATCCAGGAGTCTTTCATTATATCACGCAGGAGTCTTGAGTCGCAAGCCAGTCCCGTGTCCCAAGAGCTGTAATGCACTCCCTTGCCAGCTGGCCTGAAACATAAAAAGGCAGGACATTTTTGTGAAGGAAGTTAAACACATTTTTCTTCAGAAATTTCTGTTGAATACTGTTTTCCTCTTAAAACTGAAAAGATTCTCAGACTAGACTGTGCCGTTCAACTGTAAAAGAGCAAAAGAGCATCCTTACAGCAGTTGAATGTTTTTACACATGAAAGAAATATATATGACTTTTGAGAGAATATTCAGTCTCTCTTCTTCTAATATCATAGAATAGCAGCAAGCAACACCTCACAGGATCACTAGAATCAAATGGGACACCCCCTCAAGGAAGGCAAGACGCCTAGAAAAAAGGACATATTTCACATCTCTCTCCAGAACATGAGCAGCCTTTTAAAATAGTGCTTTCTAAGCATCAGGAGAAGCTTACTACATCTTCACTTTACACTGGTAACTTAACACTAGTTAAGGAACATCTGCAAAACATGGTGATCCTAATTCATACCTTTCTTCTGCCTAGTACAAGCTATTTTTTTTTTCTGTACTAAAGGGAATAATAATTGAAATGTGATTTGTTACAATAATTCAATGAAAAAATGCAAGTATTTCTGCTTTTATTAGGTGGATGTACACAGAGGCTTACAAGGGGTCTTCCAAAATAGAAAAGTCAATTAAAATACTTCAAACAAATCCTAAATAATCTGTCATGGAGCTCTGAACAAGTTTTCACAACCATTTAAAAATCTTACAAGTTACAGTAGTTTTGTTTTAGATAAAAAAACTGCACTGAAAGCTAGACTTAATATAAAAATAGATGCTATTTTAAAAAATTTTATATAATACACTATAAACAAGTATGAAAGTATTATTACAAAGGTAAACAGAAGTGTGCATTAATATTTAAATTTATAGGTTTTTCATGTAACATTCAAATTGTGTCACGTTGGCCATGAAATGGACATGGTTTTCCCCAGTCCTCACACGTATTTAAATATCAAGGTATCTTTTTTTTTTTTTTCCTTTAAACAAGGAATTGCTGGCATCAGTTTAAGTTAGAAAGTGGGCTATTAAAAACAGTATCTTGCTGAAGAACCTGGGGATCCCACACCACTTTTTTCCAAGCATTTGTTGCAGCATTTTTCTACATTTGAATCTGTTGATGCATTCAGCTGTGTGACAGCAGAATTTGATTTGTCAGAGTTGAGGAACGGAGTATGCTCTGGGTTTGTTATCAGGTGGCTTCTACTGGAAACTTTAGCGTTGCTTTTTCTGCTGAGAATCTTGCCATTAGAAATCTCTCTCCAAGAAGTCACGTTTTCATCTGCAGGGGAAGATGACCTGACATGAAGAAACTCTTCACAGTATGCAGTCTGTGCTTGTCCACTAGTACTGGCCTTTTGTTCAGGATACAAGAGAGGCCTATCACTACAATCCAGCTGCAGGCTCCCATTCGCAGAACTCCGTTCACTGCAGCTTCCATCATCTCTTTCTGGAGTTTCCTGGAAATCAAATTCCTGAGTTATTTTAGATTTAGTTTTCCATTTTCCACATGACTGCATACATTTATCCTCTTTCAAGACGGTTCTTTCGTTCTTGCTCCTAGGCATACGATGAGTTGGCCCGGAGATGGTATGGCCATTTGTAAAGCTGGGTGCATGCATATACTCTAACGTGACTGGAAAAGCAGATGGAGGAGCATTCTGATGTGCCATATTACTAGCAGCACACAAGAGTCCTTTGTCTACGTTTACAATGGAGTCATTTTTTTGTCTTCTTCCATCTTCACTTGGATAAACCTCTGGCAGAGCATCTCCTGAAGCATCATCCAGATTTGTAGAGTTACTCCCATTCTGAATATTTGAAGTCACTGTTTCATGAAGCATATGTTGCATTTCTGTCTGCAATGCATCAAACTGCTGCCTCAAGTTGTGCGGTACACGTTTCTGGACAAGCTGATCACTGGCTTTTTCAGTAATGCCTTCACCACTTGATTTGCTCTTCACGCGATGCGGCCTAGTCTGAAGCATGCGATCTCTTTTTGAATACTCAGCTCCAGGTGGTAGGTCAGAATGGAACAGCAGAGCTAGGACATGAGGGAAGGAAATAGATTAATTGAAGGAAATGGCAATGATAGAAGAAAAACTAGGTTCTTTTGTTTGTTTGTTTGAATTTAGAACTGTAAACATTGTCAAAACAAGCAGCTTATATTTACATTTCCATTAGCAAGCTTGTAAATAGTACCTCACTTCCCATCTTGGTTTCCATTGCTACATGCATTAGGAGCACTACTATACTAAATCAGTAGGATCAGGAAGAGAACAGCTACGGAATCCAACGTACCCGAGCGGGTAGACTTGCTTTGGGGAACGTGTTGAAGAGGTGTTTCAAGTCCTTTAGCCATTGTAGCAAGCTTACTGGCAGCATTCATTATTTTCTTTTCAGCCCTGCCAAGAATTACAGAACATGACAAAAAATAAAAATCAAAGTTTCAGGACAATTCCTTTTCAGCTCTGCATTTTACTTCAAGGTGATGTTGGCAAGAGCTGAAGAATACTGAAAAGACAGTATGCTCAACTGCTCAGAGCAAGACTTCAGCCCAGATCCCGTTTGCTCCAAGGTGGACAAACACCAGAATAACATCTACACCTGCTCTTTCAAACTCAACAGTAATTTCCAGACGTAACTGAGCGTACCCTTCATGGTTCCCATTATCAGTAAGCAGCTGTTGAAGACACGTCAGATAGTATTTGCGCATTTTCCGTGCCGTTTCTTGACGCTCTCTTGAAACCTCAGCTTTAATCATTTCAGCAGCTCGCTCCTTACTTTCATGGATGTAGCAAAGCACATCACCTATGGATACATCTCATTAGCACCAGTTTTCCCCCAGAAGGGGAAAAAGCCAATGCAACAAACTGGGATTGTCTAGCAAACCTGGAACAACTCAACAAGGGCTTGGATTTACCTGCAAACATTCCACCCAAATCCTTGTCCCAACTGTTTGTTGGATGAACAACACTGAAGACCAGAGAAGGTTCATGTGAAGCATCATATAGGAATTCAAGTTGTCCGATTCTGTATCTTCAGCAGCAACAGAAAACACTAGGCCCATGGATTTCGGAGGAATATTGGCTGGTAAAACGCTGGTCTAGGAATTCTCCTGTGACAGTGCAGCTGGTGTTTGGGCACGTGCTGCACTCGAGTAAGACCTGGCGTTACAGTTAGCCCTCTCCCCTCAGCCACAAGGTTGCCAATTAAGCCAGAAGGCAGGATGCAACACAAGAGAAAAACAGATTCTCCCTCAGTACCAGTTGCATGGGAGATGAATTGTTTGCTGGGGATACAAGATCAGTTCTCAAAATACACTTTATCACTTTAATTTACGTATGCAATGTGACTGTCAGATCCCTGTGCCAGTCGGCTGGAGAAGGAGGAGGAGGAAGTGACAAAGTAAACAATTTTGCTCTCCTGACTTTCAGCGAAGATGTTAGTACTTACACTTAATCTTGCTCACAGCTTTAATGTACAGAGCACGCATTTCTTCCAGCCCTTTCACAGAGTTACAAGATGCACAAGGGTTTGAGACGTCTTCCTTTGACACTGACCTGAAATGCATGTAAGTCACACTTCCCAAGAGCAGCTTATATCTTATCATAAAAAAAAATAAAATAAAATCAACTTCAGAGTTTGTTTTGGTCTTTTTTTTTTTTTTAAAATACCTTAGTGGTGTTCCCAGGTCTTTCAGTTTAGTCTTCATCTCAGAGTTTTCTGCAGTTAGACCTTCTAGAACCTTCTCATTTTCTGTTAAAAAAACAGAACCATAATTCACTGCACTTCTCTAAACTCCAGTTGAGTTCAATACAAGTTATTATATAAATTGCTGTCTCTGCTATAAGAGCTCAATATCATGAAGCATCATCAGCAAATGTACAGCTGTTGCAGTAACCAGCACATGGCAATTGATCACAACACGCTTTAATGAAGCCTGAATATAAAAGTTCTCATACAGTAATAAAATAAGCTTAAAGCCTTCATATGTCATTACTAACACTATGCTGGAGGCAAAATGTCAGAGATACCAGGTATACATGTAGAGAAAGGATGGGACTTGGGGGGAAGGGTTGTTTTAACAAACACTGGAAAAGAATTAGTGATTTGTGGGCTAGCAAGTATGCCTCCCTTAGGGTGGAGAAATAAAAGATAACACTTGTTAGTTGCTGAGGTTTTTCTTTTTGTTTTTAATAACCAAAAGCCACTATTAAAAGGAGGGCTGGACTTTGATGCTAAACTCTGATCAATGCTACTAAGAAGCATATGAATATTATAATAAGCTACCACAGAGAATGAGAAGACAACAGAGCTGAAAAAGCCCAAAGCATAGACTCCAAGCTGATACTGAAGAATATTGATCATACAGGAAGTCCACCTGTGGGTCATTTCCTGGAAGTTAAAGAAGCTTAAAACATTTATTAACTAATATAAGCAAATTATTATTTTTTTTTAAAGGCTACAGGTATTTACCATTGAGTAACTGATGGCTAAACTTGGACAGACCCATAAAAATCAACAGGTAATGGCTAGCTTTCCTATTTTAGGGAAGAAAACCAACAGGAATTGAACATCTACACCAAATGTTGGAGACAACTCCACTACACCCAGCCACAGAAGTTCTTACATAAAGCATGGTTTAGGGAAAACAAAAAGTGTCACCACAGAATGGAGGGCATGTCTTAAAGACACGTTTTCCTTCTAGAAGAATCAAGGCTTTCATTAGTAGAATGTGAGGATTTGAGCCCTGGGTAAAACAGCCAAGTTTGTCTTTCTTCCTCTAGGATGATGTGCAGAAAAGCAAAAAGCAAACAGCCATCCTCGAATAGAGAGAGAAACAATTCATGGAGTTCATGGATTTTTGATACAGATCTCATTTTGAGCAATTGAGGGCTGTAGCTGCAATGACCTTGGAGACAGAGGCCTCCTATTATCCTTCAATCCTTCCTCCAGTCCCCAAGGAAGTGTACATGCTATATGGCTGTTGATGAAAGAACACAAACAGTATTATGCCAATCTGTGCAGCTTACTGACCTAGCCTTGCTCACACACCAGCAGGCTGGCAAAAGCCTTCCTCCTACCAACATACAGCATTTTACTCCTCCTCACAGAGCACAGGAGGTATTAGAGCAGGCAACTGAGACTTTTCATATAAAAAAAAAAAAAAAAGGAAAATAAAGTAAAAAACCCACCCCACACAACACAAACCACAGCATTTGGCAAGTAAAACTGCTCAGTCACTTGGTATAATCTACTCCCTCATATCTGCTCTCTCCAAGCTGACCATTTGCCAAACCTGCTTACAGTGTCTACATTGACATTTCACTGAGGCATACTCATCTCCACAGTTAGTGACCCTCAGCATGCAGTTTGAGACCTCCCCTGAACCAGAACCTTCAGCAAGTCCAATTCCTACCATGCTCCAAGGAGAGCCTAAAAACAAATGCCCTGAACACTGTTGTGTACAGCTTCAATTGATTAAAACACTGCAGGGAGAATGATCCTCTTATTCAATCACCAACATGTTTTTCTTCAGAGAAAACATCATTCTCTTTGTTCTGCTCCTTAAAACAAAGGCCTCTGCTGACTGCAATACAGCTGAATAAAAGGATAGACTTCCTCAGATACCAACGGAATAGGAACTGTGCTTTATATGGTATGTTATGCTCAAGTAGGAAAGAAAAAGTTCTTGAGCACAGAAATAAAGCAAAGCAGGCATTCCTCCTACAAATCCTCTCAAAAATAAGCAAAAGGAATTATTGTTGGTATCAGAGACAGATGAATTAATATGACTTCCTCTGAGTCAAAAGCCTACAGTCAGGGCCCATAGAGGGAGATCCAACCACAGGAGTAATTACAGGTACAGTAAAGTGCTTGGATACATTAAAGGACTTTCCATCCTCATTAGCAGACTTTACTGGGGTAGAGACTAGCCAGAGACTTCTAGGAAGTTACAGAAAGTAATAAAGGATTTGGATGACAGAAAGGATGACAAGTAAATGGTGCAATAGTATCCGTAATAAAAGCAGGTATCAATATCAAGTCAGATAATACTGCAACTGACTAAAGTGGTGGAGAAGTCTCAGGGAGGTTTTACCACCAGGCACTAGCAGTCTGGTCACAGAACGTGATATAGATATTGCAAATGCCAAAAAGAAGACACTGGACTACAAAGAGAAGGAAATCACAACAAAACGCCACCATCCCACAGCCAGTGGGGTGTATATTAACCAAGTGGACTGGGTAACACCACTACTCAATCAGAAGCAGTCTCCTACAACAGAAGAATCTCAAACAAGTTACTTTGCACCATCTTCTTCCACCAGAAGCTGCTTCAGAGTAGTTTTATTTTCATATTACAAGAAGAAGCCTTCCTTTCAGTGACTTCCAGAAAAAGAGTGGGTATTTCATATCCATCATTGGTAGAGACAGTTGTCACATAGAAAAGAAAGACTTAAGAACTAGAGAGCTTCTCAGTCATTGTCCTCTATTTCTCACTTCAAAGTGACACAAAGGAAAAAGAATGTCTTAATTTAAAAGGCAAAAAAAACTAAATAAAGCCAACTTGAAACCTACTTTAAGGTTTATGAAAAAAGAGTAAAACAGAACTACAGCTTCAAGCTATTATCAACTCAGGAAGGTACAAGAAAACTGTTGTCAGCAGCTTACTTCAACAGCTGCTGAGAAGAATCAAGTAACATTTGGGGCCAAAGAATGCCCTGGCTCATATACATTTATAAGTGTGTATGGGCACATGTGTGCATTATCTGTGTAACCCTCATGGGCAACAGGATCCACGTGTACATGCACTCCAAGAACATCTGCCACGTGCTCTGTTGCCCTCTGGTCTTTTCCTGACACACACCAAAGAGTACCAAAGCAACAAGTAATGTTTAAACTGAAGGACTGAGGGGGGAGTTTTTTTGTGGTTTGGTTTTTTGGTTTTGTGGGGTTCGGGGGGGTGGGGAAGAGGAGGTGGTGTTTATTTTTTTGTTGTTGTTGTTTTTAGTGTTGGTTTGGTTTTTTTTTTTTCAAGTACACAGATGCACATCGCTGTTCCGTCCATTGAACACTAAATGATGCAACAGGTGCAAGAGACACATGCACCCAACAAGGAAAGCCAAAGTCGCCTTAGGGGACTAACAATCCCTAACCTTGTATTTGCTCTGACTTAGCTTTGTGTTCCCTCACAGCAAGCTGAAAGTTTGTGGGCTACATCCAGCTTTCTTTTCAAGTCCTGGCACACAGACTCTCTTTTTTCAAGCTCCTGGCAACACTGTTTACAACAAAAATCTTCCTGAGACCCAAGGTTCCTTTTTGTACATTTCTCATCTGCAACAGTAACTGCTGAAAAGCTATACATCAACCATGGGACCAAAAAAAGAATGAAGTCCAACCTTAGGACTTCCAGTGCTCTACTTAAGTCTCTCTCTTGCTGGAAGGCATATAAACACAGTAGTCTAATTAAAATAATCACAAGATGCTGGAACTCTGTTACAGAAGATCTATCAAGCCATTAAGCCTTCATAGCCTCAATGCACTCCCGTCACTGATGATTCCAGTCCTCGGTCAGTGACACAAGACGTGGAGGCTGAATATTTTTTACTAAAAAAACCACGCCCCAAACCAAACAAAACCCTCAAGTCAGAAAACCCCACTAAACCAAAAAACCAACCCCACAACAGCCAAGCAGGGTCTTTTGGAGTCAGCTGAAGGAGACTGTCCCAGCTGGGGAGCCTCACATGCGGCTGAGTCTAGTTCAGTTAAGAAATTCACAAAGACTGGGCTGCTTCCAGGAGAGCAAGGGCAGCTCTCCATAGCCAGGACAGGGAGCTCTAGAGACAGAAAAGCTGTACTGCTTGTATTGTTTTGCGTTTAATAGATGGTTTGTTATTTTGGTGTTGAAGGAATACAAGTCACACTATAGGCATACAGCCAAAGAATCTCTTGGGTTTTCTTGCTTTATGTTTTTTATTGCGTAAGAACCCAAACTAAACAGAAAGCTCCAGAGAGATTTCTGTGCCTCCCATGAAGTTTTTCCCCAGCTACACTCTCTTTGGCTTTACCATAATGCATGTGACAGCTTTGGGAAGAGCTACAATACTAAAGTATATACTGAGAGGGGGGAGCAGGAGGAAGGAAGGGAGAAGGGGGAAAAGAAGGAAAAAAACAAACCAAACATCACAATCACACTTTTTTAACTACATTCTTGATTCAAGGAATCAGAAAAAACTACCATGTCAGGTGAAGTATGATTCTTGACACATCTTTTACATAAATGCAGAATTCCTTGTGTTGTCAAATGTCACGGGCAAATAGTATATTTTGATCTTCAAAGCTCTTATTTAGTATTACCCATTTACCAGACCTAGTTTAGACCATGCCCTGCTCATCATGATCAATGCTGGCTTGCTTATGAGCTGTTAAACACCACAGGTATTACTGTTCATGCCCACAACTCCCAAAGAGTATTTACACCTGCAGCAGACAGCAGCTGTTTCTTTACTCCTGAAGAATGGTTTTAAAAAGCAGAAAGCTACTAGCATAGAATAAAATTAAACCTCAAAGCTTTGCATTAAGTCAGTAAGCTGGGGATCAGCATCATTTGTTGCACCGTTTGTGACTCCAACACAGTACACACACACTAATGCAACAGTAAAACCACTTACAGTCAGAACTGCACCCTCCTCCTTCACCCAAATGCTCACTAATTAACTAAGCTAGCATTGCAGTCATCAGTAAGATGTAAACTATTAAAGACTGCTACAAACATGCTTAATTTTATGATATACAATTTGCCAGATGAAAAACAAACCAAATACCTTTGTCTGCTCCAGTTTCCTGCAAGGGCAGCCGTCTCCTCAGCTTCCTTTGTGCTTCTGCTTGGTGTCCAACATTGCACACGGGAAGCCCTGCCACGTCCCCAGTTTCTCCTTCACCATGTTGCAGGCAAGAGTATGCTTCTTTATTTACCTTACTCACTAGCTCGTCATATTTCTGCAATTGAAAAACACTTACTGAAAACCCAGCACACAGGAAAAAAAAAGTGTTCCATACTATCTTAAAGTAGTTAAGTAATATGCTATGCAGAAAATCAAGCGACTCTGGCCACCAAGTAGCTTTAGTAATTGTAACAGAGATGTTTTACACTTGCAATAGGTTGCAGCTCAGATGGTGAGGAAAACGTGTATTCTAGCATATAGAAGTTGTACTTCCTGTAAAAAAGAGTGGTTATGCAAAAATCTAAGATGGGCCTTCAATGATCAAACCCATCTAAGAGGTCACAAAGAGCCTTCAACAGGCTCACAATCTTAGAATGGCATATTCATCTCCTTAATTTACAAGTCCTGACATCAAAAAGTGACACTCCTAACCTGGCTTTCTCATCTTTAAAGATGAAATGTGCCAAAACCACACCCATCCTTTCCCTTTTCACTTGCAAATGGTAGATTTAGGCCCTTTTTTACAGTATTAAAGGACTGTTGTTATCAATGTACTCAAGTGTTGGATTCTTTCATGCTCAGTATTACATAGATATTTTATATTGGGACAAAACATGTATGAGTTTGACTTCTCAAATCCCTTTCCTAGTTGGCAGTTATAATTTACAGAACTATTACCTCTTTCCATTCTTGCTCTCTCTTTTCCAGAATTGTGTAAACTGTGGCTCTGTAGGCCTTTTGCAAGCAAGCCTTCAGTTTGTCTTTGTGTTGACTGTTTAATTGAACATGAGCATCAAACAACTTATCCTTCCAAGACTGCTTACTATGTATGCACTTGACTAGCTCTTTGTGGATTTCACTCAACAAGCACTCAAGCTCAACCAGAGTCGTCTCCTCATATTGATTAATTTTGTCCTGCAGTCTCTTTGTTTCTTGAGCCTCCCATTCTCGCTGCTTTTGGTCTAGTAACATGTTTATTTCTGCCTCTTTCTGAATGGAGAGAACATTCTTCTGCTTTGCAAGATCTTCCTTCGCTGTTGCAAGGACCTCTTTAATTCTGTTTCTATGCTCATCTACGAATGCCTGGTAGCCTCTCTCATTTTCCTCCTGTATCTGCAGAATTTCTTTTTGCTTTTCTTTGTTCCACTGAGCATGGGCTTTTGCTAGTTCTGCTTTGATAGCTGCAGGCATTTCTTCTTTCTTTATCTCCAATTCCTTATTGAGATAAATTATCTTTTCTTCAAGTTCTTTCATTCTTGATCCAGATTTCTCTGTATTCTCATACTCTTTCTTCCATTTCTCTTCAGCAGCGGAAAGAACTAGAGCTAGCTAGTGAATATATAGCAGTCATAAATACACACATACATTTATAGGTACATAAAATATAACCCTGGGTCATTATAATCTATTGATATAATCCTATACAGGCAAAAAAAAAGAAGGATCAGAATGAGAGTACACTAGAAACTTATTTCTTTAATGACTCCCCACCTATGTCTACGTTCATTCCCCAGTGACATACAGGACCTAGAAGACTGAACTGTTTGTCAATACACATATATGAGTATTTCGGGTTACCTGCTTTGCTGCACTCTCTTTGTGTTCTTTTTCCCATTTTTCCTGTTCTATCTTTAAATTTATTTTGTACTCTTTGAGGTCTGTTAATTCTTGCAGCCACTTGGCATGAGCTTGGGTTAAAGCTGCATCTACCTACAATCAGATAAAAAACCACCCTACTTCAGTCACCACCACTGGATACATTTTTATTATGACTTTCATTTAGCATTGAAAGAATTGACTTTGTTTTGGACTGCTTATGTTTACAGAAATTAAAAGATTCAAAACAGCAGCATCTGATGCTTTTCTTAATGCAAAAATGATACCAAAATGATGAATATTAAATTTATTTTTCTTAACAAAATGGCATAACCTCTAAGTCAGTGTTGCTTAGTTGTGTTGAAAACTCCTGCAAAATTTCACCAACTGTGCAAAATACTAACAGCTAGAAATAAGCTGCATGCTACAGCTTCTTCAGTATTTTTTAAAAATTTGTTTCTGATATAGCAAGTATCCACTACTGAGCTTAAAAGAAAGTTAACGGAAGAGAACACTTTTTGGGTTTTGTTTTTAGGTGTCTTAGTTGCATATGGCAGTTTCACAGGCTCCAGGCAGACAGAACAATTATTCGTTACCTGGCTGGCAAGATTATGATGGTATTTATTTTCCAGTTCTACTTCAAAATCTTTTAGGGCCTTTTCAGAGGCCCTATTTTCTTTCAGAATCTTCTGGATTTGCAATCTCTGGTCTTCAACAATCCTTTCTAATTCTCTAGTTGAAGCTTCATCCACAATAGCTACTTGGTCAGTTTGGCTGCTGAAGTCATTACATTCAACTACAGTTCTTCTCATTTCTTCCAGCCTACTTTGCCATTCTCTTTCTATTTTTGCAAAGACTTGTTCTTTATTCCAAGGAAAAAAATATTTTTAAAGAAAGTCTCCCCAGTGTCCAGATAAGTAGAATGTCACTGGTATTTAACAAACAAAACTCTGTTTACATCAACTATCTTCCCTACGAGGAGAAAAGCAAAACCATGCCCACGGAAGAGAGAGCTTGGTAACTCATCACAGCTTTCTTCTATGGGATAGGACACACAAAGGACTTTTGTATGGTAACTGAATGAAACAATAGGAAGCATAACCACTCACCCAGGGATCAGTGTAGAAAATTCCAGCATATTACCAGCTGTAGCATTCAGGATATTCTGCATGTTACTTTACAAAGTCTAGGGTTTTTGGTTTGATTTTTTTATGTTCCCTCCCCTCCCCCCCCAAAATCGTAAGCATGTGCAGCTCCTACTGACTTTTCAGAGACTCCTAAGATGCCAGATCCTTAAAAGCCACTTCAAATGGTAGAATAACAGTGCATAAGTCTATCTACATAGAAGTTCTCCTGAAAATAAAGAAACCAACCAAGAAAAAAAAAAATTTGAAACCCCCTAGTCCAAGTTCCACACCTCTTTTTCTTCCTTCTTCCAGTCAACTTTGGCTAATGCAATTTCTTCTGCAACTTGCTGTTCTTTTTCTTCCAGCCACTGCCTCTTTGCTGCTGCCATAGAATTGGTGTGTTTCTCTTCAAGCTCAGTCCTCAGAAGGTTAAGAGAGTGTTCTTTTTCTTCTAGTAACTGTTTCTTGAGCTAGGGGGGAAGAAAAAAAAATAAAGCTTTCTTCTCCAACGCGTAGCAAACTACTCTTGTACAAAGTGAGGAGAACGCACAACATACATTACTAACTCTCTAGACGCTGTGCACTGATCTTACTGATGACACCTGGGCAAGAGATTCTGCTCTCAAAAGGAGGTGTTTCAAGGCATGATATCAGAGGTTATTACAGGCTATTGCTTTAAGTAGGTTTTCTTATCAAGCATCTTTATTCCCAGCATACTCTGAGCTTCACCTCTTTACTATACTTACTTAGCAAGGCAATTGACCTGCTCTAGTCATTTCACACTGATAGCTTCAGAAAGGCAAAGCTTTTAATCTATATGGCAGTCCAAATTCAGTATTACTTAAACACAGTATTTTCAGGTCAGTTTTGTAGAGGCAGAATTAAATTTCTATTGTCTTTTTTTTTTTTTTTGAAAATCTCATGAATGTAAGATCTCACCCTGGTGACTAAGTGGTCCTCAAGAGTCAAAATTATGGAAGTTGACTACATAAAAATGAATAGCTATCAGGAGGTTTACTTCTACAATATTTTAAACCCCAGGACACCAGCAGGTTAATTTAATAAGCAATACATGACATGTATTAACCTGATACAGGTGCATCTTTTTCAAGTATCTTCCCCAAATAATTACAAAGTTAAATACACTTATAGATATCATCTCTTAAAAAACAACCCGAAATAATATGGTTTATCAGTATTTCCATTAGTACCTTCTCTTCCCTCAGCTGCTGCTCTTGCTCAAATTTCTGCCTTAAAGTAGCTTCCAGGGTATCCTTCTCCCTACAGACTCCAATGTAACATTCCTTCACTGCAGTCATTTCTCTGTTCAGCTCCTCTATGTTAGCCCTTCACAGGACAGATAATCAGTTAGTCTTTACACTCACCGGACAGCAAGACTGTTCTAAAAAAACCAAGTGCAACTAGCACTGAGGAACAGACAGGAAATGTGAAAGTTTCAGTAAAAGTGGAAGAAATAGCAAGTCTTACTTTAACTGTGAGACTGTCTCTTCATACGCTTGCGTAAGCTGCTGTTTTTCTGCAGCATACCTCTCCATCAGGTCTTTCACAAAATGTGCTTTTGTATCCTCATGATGTTGCTGATAAGTTCTTTCACATCTATGATTTCAAGAAAGGAAATAAAGATTTTTTTTCTCCTCTTTTAAATGGAGTTCAACTTTTTTGTAAGTAAGAAAACAGCTTTCTAATGCTGAGCTGCCCTTTTACAGATAGCTGGTATAAGATTATACATGGAGGCTAGAAGTTCTGAAATGGAAGTTAACAGAGTTAATACACTTACCTGTCAATGGCTTCTTGTTTATCCTGATCAAAATCCTGAACCATCTTTCTCATCTGACAACAGAGATCTTGATTTAAGCTTTTCAGGTTTTCCTCATTTTCCTTCATTTTTTCAATAGTCAAAGTATGGTTCTGGACAAACAAGAGTCAAGTGATAAATAGGCAGGTTGTAAAGAATCTTTTCCAATTGCAGATGTTAGCACAGGGATTATTTTTATGTCTTTTTTTTAGGGATAAGTGGCATCTCTGTCTTACCTCGACTTTTTGCAGCAAAGTTTCATTAGCCTTTCTGAGTCTCAGAACTTCATCTTTAAGGTTATCAGAAACAGAAGGACTGGAAACTGACTTATTCAGACTTGTGACAGCCTAAAAAAAAAAAAAAAAAAAATTAAGATTATCTTTGAAGATATGTGATTTAGAAGTTGATACTTTCAAAAGTTAAACTGTCAAATAAAAATTTTACTTAGAAAACAAATACAAAAAGAAATCACTGCAGTGCTATATATAACAGCATCACTGTTATTACAGATGAGTTCCTGAAACTCATAGCATCATGAATATTTAAAGAAGCACACATTCAATGTTGTGCTTGCAAGCTGAATCATTAGTATCACCCAACAGAGAGCACATTTCTCAAGCATATTATATTCCTATTCCACATCCTAGTCACAATGTACAGATTACAACAGCAGATGTTACAAGTCTGATTGGTTTATAGAGGGAAGTTAATAATGGGGTGAAGAGATGCAATATCAAAGAGATTCCTTGTTGATCAAATTACATAGTGAGGGCCCCCTGAAGACAATCTGTTTAATGCTCTGTTTGTATAACCTAATGATACTATCAGCTTTCTCAGAGAAATTACAAGGTCTTTTTGGCTAAAGAAAACCTACTTCCTCCAGTGAAATTCAGTTCTGAAAAAAGCAGAGTGGCCACTAAGTGCCATTAAGCAAGTAAGCCATCAAATCAGAACTCAACTAATAACGGCATATACCGCCCAAGTTGTGCTATTTGGTTTGTTTCTTTCTCACCAAAAGGTACAATGCAAGGTAACCATCCAAACACAATACTTCCCTTAAGCTCAAATACAGAGTTACTTAGTTGTTATGAATACTCAGCTGTGAGTAAATTCTCTGGTCTATCTGCATAAGAAGATTAAATGTTGGTTTGCTTCACTAAAATCCAGTGCATCTTTACTTTTACAGAAGTGTAAAAGAACAAACCTCTGACTCTTTTGATGCTTTTTCTGCTTTCAACGACTCCTCATATTCCTCTAATGTCTTCTGGCAATCTTTAAGATCACTTTGTAATTGAGTAATTTGGTTTCTCTTCATTTTATTACTGCTCAATAAACGTTCCAGCTCAGCTTTTAATTCTAGAATAATTTCATCTTTAGAGAGGTCTTTATCCATGTCTCTGTTCTGTATTGCACTGTTAGTGAAGACAATCAGTTCAGTATTTAAAAAGACAAAAATAAAAAAACATTTATCTGAAAGGCAGTGGTGTCAAAGAGAAAGGAAACTAATGCTACCAGAAATACAGATGTCTACGAGGTAACAGTAAAAAGAATGAAAACACATGAATACAGAAGCCATATGCTTTTTTCATCAAGGTGCAATTAATGCACAGAAAGCTAGTTCATTCAGCTGTTTCCTCAACAGATTCATTCTCACACGATGCAAGGTATTTTGAGACAACTCAATTGGGTGTTCTAAAACACAGTTTTAGCATTTAGTAACTATGAGAAAACTTTCAGCAAAATTCTATCCCCACATACAATCTGTACCATGCAAGCAACAGCAACACAGTCCCTATAAAACCTGAAGCTCTATTAAGCAGCAATTAGGCATCCAATTTCTAGTATTAGTTCAGTGTTCTGCTTCCCAGATTACCTGGCAACACATGCAAATATTTTGAAATATTTGCACATCTCAAATAACTACCAAAAAAACTGTATATTGATCCAGTAAGACCGTCTTTTACACAACATTTGTATAATATCTTGAGGATTTTTCTTTCAAGAAGAATCACTTGATACCTGCAGAGCCTTGGTTTCTTTCCGGCCATTTTTTTAATTCCTAACTCTACATAGGAATCACCCAGGTCTGTATGCAGCTTTCCACCCGCATCATTCAAAAATACTCCAAGCTTGGCAGCAGATTCATACAAAGCTATTTCTTCCTTCAGTTCCATTAATTCTTCCTTAAAGGAAGAGACAGGAAAAGAACAATTACACTAAGGAGAGAAACTCCAAGCAAACACACTAGGCCCATGATAACTCTTCCAAAGAAAACAAATACACCAAGATATTCTTTCTAAATACAGTTGTACTTAGCTGTATTTCCTGACTAATCTAGCATTAGTGTTATTTATTTATTCAATCATTTTTGATACCTCTAGCAATGGACATGTTAAAACTTCAATTTAATTAGGGAATATTTTCTGTTCATCAGTATTGTTCTTATTACAGCTCATATATAAAGTATTATTTCTTTTGCTCTTACTTCTCTCCTAATGGTCTTGTACAGTAAAATGGATAACAACAGAAAAGTACATGGCTGGAAAAACAGACTATTACTCTAGTACTTATCAAGATTCATCATTTGCTGGCAAAAGGTAAATTCCAGAATGTATCTCCAGCTACCCCTATAGCCTAATTAAATTAAGAGATTTCCAGCATATTGAATTCACATTCTTCTTCTTCCATAAGCAGGTTAGATAAATGTATATCAGACTTGTGCCAGTACATATGCTTTGCTGAGTTCTAATTAAAAAATAAGGAAAAAGTAAAAAGCCCAACATGCAATAGTGGGAGATGAAACCGGGAGATAAAATAGCGGGCAGTCCTTTACTGAATGGAAATGTGCTTGTTTCCCCAACAAATAAAAAGAGATTTAACTACCAGTTTCTTAGGTATAATGCCTGCCCCTCTAAAATCAAACCAGTTAAATATTTAATAAAATTAACCTGCAAAGCTTTGTTCATGTTATTGCTTATCACGTGTGCAGACTGAGCTTGTTGCAGTTGAAACCGTAACTGATTTGTCTCCTGCATTGAGCCTATTGCAGGAAAAAAAGGGAGAAAGAGCAAGTCATAAATAAGCAAGAAAAATTATGCAACCTGAAAAGAGATCAACTGTTAAAAATAGCAATGTTGGCTCTAGTAATAGACATTACCCCGTTTCCATTTCCTTGAGGTCACAAATAGTTACTACATACATTACTGTTAAAAGACTTCAATGTGTAAAAGCAGGCACAAGTCAAACACACAAAGAACAGAATATTTCATGTGCTATTCCTACAGATACAAGTTTCAAAGAATCAGTCTCCAGCCACAAAACCGATTCTTTTCTCATTGAGATTTGAATTTAGAATGGCAATTGAAGTCAAACGCCTAACACGAAAATAAGTAGCTTGCTCCCATGGGGTGTTATTTGGTCCAAAACTAAATTAGACACATAAGCAGCAAAAAACCCACATAAAAATAGTTTAACAACTGTTGCTTGAGGGCTTATTGGGTGTTTCGGGGTGGATTTTTGGGTTGGGGTGAGTGGTGTGCAGGGGGGAAGGCGTTTGGAGGGGTTTAAATTTTGGTGTGTTGTTGTTGGTTTTTTGGGGGTTTTTTTTTGGTTTTTTTTTTGTTTACACTTCAGTCTAGACTTAAAACTTAATTTAAGCCTGACTAATGCAATGCATAGGAAATGGTCTAGTAGACACGATGATTCCATTTCAAGAGGAACATAAATGTGCATTTTCATACTTCAGAAAAAAATGAAGCTATTTCTGCAAGGAATAAGAAGGTTTGAGTAAAAGGCTAACCTGTTTGCAGTAAGCTTGCACATTGCTTTTGACTTTCTTCTAGGCTTCTTGTCAGCCGATTTATTATTTCTGTTTTTTCACATTTGGTTTCTTCCAGCATTTTTTCCAGTTGCTTAACATGCTCTCCTAGATTTTTGCAAAGCTCTTGCTAGAAATAGAGATTATTTTCACTCATATTACAAACATCTAGACATCTAGGACAGTTTCAGATGTAGAACACAAGCAAGAGACTGGAGAAAAATAATCAGATACCTAGAAGGGTAGAGGCCAGCTAATCAATCACAGATCAAATGCTATCCTTGAGTGACAAGTCATCTCTTACAGCATCACAGTTAGGTTTTCACTAGGAAACAGTAAATATGCTCATATATAAACACATCCATGGATATGAACCATTTCTATAGCAGTTAGTTTTCAGTATGTCATATTAACCCCTGTAATTAATCACACAGTCTACTGCAGAAAAATCAAGATTTCAAATTATTTTATTAAGCTTGAGCTTAACACAATTTAACTGAGTTTAAGCAAAGCTAGCAAGTTCTAATACTCTGTAAAAGAGGAACTGTAGTTCTTTCACATGATATAGAAAGTAGACCTTCATATGGCATTACTTAATTACCTAAACAGACCTGGGAGGCACAGCACTTCATCTTTCATCTTTTAACTTTTCTATTTCCTCTCAAAAACAGGAGGCCTCTCTCTAAATACCCCCAACATACCACCATAAATTTTTTTTTTGTAGTAGTAGAGACAAAGTTGCATAAGCTTCATTGTGATACGAATAGACAGAAGTTTAGCAGTGCATTCTTGTTTACAAGCAAGTGCTAGCTATGTTTTGAAATATACAAACCATTTATTTTTATTCGTATTTGTGTTGAGACAAGAATTAGAGATCGAATTAAAGAAAATTATACTTCCTTTATACGAAGTAAGAGTAGAATTTAAGGCCTGCCTAGACTACATTGCTTGAATATTTCTAATAGTGTAATAGACTCACATGTTTAAGACATGTGAGGCAGAGTAATTTTAATAAGCTCTATAACCACGTAACAGAATCCATATCAAACACCATCTTGAATGCACCCTCTCCCCTTCTAAAATAAAGTGGCTGTTGAGTGGTTAGTCATCCTTAATAATTTTGAGACTAAAGCTTGGCAATAGACTGTTTAATAAACAGTTTTTCTTGCAGCAAAAAATATCACATCATTTCTTAATTAGTGCTTTTATTTCCCAGATTTGTCAGTACCCTTTCAAAAAGAGATTGTGTGCAGAATGAAAGCTCAGGAGATAGACAATGAATTCTTGCCTCCTCTGAACCTGCTATGTACAAACTCACAATTTGAGTGCACAACCGCCTGGAAATGTTTATAAAAACATACATGCCACATAAGCTTCATAACATTGAGACTTATGCAGAAATTTCTTTCTACTTGCTTAGGAGATTCCCAAAGGCCTTATTAGAATTATAGCACATTTTAGGAAACACAGCTCTACAGCCTCTCCAGTACCATACTGGGCATTCTAAAAATAATTTCTCACCTGCTCTCGGAGTGCAGATTTTGTAGTATCAAGTTTCTGCTCTAATGATAACACCTGCTTCTCATACTTCTGCTTGAGTGCTGAAACAATGGCCTCGTGTTGTTCTCTGGCTCGCTGAAGGGCGTCCGATCGCTGAAGTTCTAACAGCTGCTTCTGCAGGCTTTCCATGGCAACCTCTGCCACTTTGGACTGTTTCAACATCTGCAGCAAAGTATTAGATAAGCTCCCAGTTACCTATATTTTACTTTTGCTCCAAAACTCTATCTCAGTTCAGGTTTTTTATGCATGAGTTGCTAAAAGTGCTCAAATAATGCCCTGATTTTAATACTATTTTCCACCAGTGCATCCTATTCATTCATCATATATTCACCTTCTACAATGATCATTAAAAATATGTTTCAAGAGACTGGCACTTAACATTTAATGCAAATGCACCACAAATACAACTAGCAACCTTCCACAATAAGCAGTTTGAAACTATTTATTGTACCTGCTCCTCCTTGGTAGTAAGAGTCTGAATTTGAGTTTCAAGGGCCTTTATTTGACCTTCAAGATGCACTTCCCGTTCTTTTCCATTCTGACAGAGTTTTTGAGACTCATGAAGACTAACAGCCAAACCATCTTTCTCATCTGAAGAGAGAAACACAACTGTGTGAGAAACATGGCCAGTCACCCAACAACTTCATGGAACATGACTGTTCAGTATCCTTTTTCTACAGAACCATTCACTAAGAGCTTTCTGTCTCATGCCAAGGGCAACAAGCAGAAGACAGAACAAAAACAATCAGTCTTCATCTAGTCATCACTTTCTGCCTCTGATAGCTGGAAGCATTAGACTGTAGTACTATATGTTGTACCTGCAGAACCCTAGTGGAAAACAACCCCCATTCTGTCAGCACTAGGAACTAGCATTTAAAGAGAGTAAGAATATCATTCCCCTGGAAGAACAGTCAAGACACAGCAAAATGGCCAACAGCTAAACTTCTCTCTCCTTTGCTCTTTCTGTATTCTAAAAGTTATAATCTTAATTCTCTTAACTCATGACTCTTTTTTGTCTATTCCTGTAAGAAAAGGGAGACCCAGACAACCACCAGTCTCCACTACAGCGTTGATCATTTTGGAAGAGCTTCTCTCTATGTACAATCCAGTAAATGGCTTGTTAAACGAGGCACCACACACAAAGGTTTTTTTCCATAGATGTACACTTCTCCTGTTGTGCGTTTTTTTTTTTTTGGTTTTTTTTTTTTTGGGGGGTTTTTTTTGTTTTGTTTTGTTTGTTTGTTTGTTTTTAATACTTCTAACACACTACTATACATACAGGGACACTAACTAAATCAAAGTTTCAGAATAAAAAGGTTGCTATATATGAATAAAAACTAGTACAAAATATTTTACCTTTGACCATCAAAAGCTGATGATCCAAATACCTAATCTGCTGTGCACTCTTTTCGAGTTTTTCATTAAGTTCTTCCAGCTGTCTTTCTCTTGCTTTATTTAGAACCTGAAGCTGAAGAATCTGCATATTTTCTGAAGAATCTGCCAAATTTTAAACAGCATACAAAAAATCAGCACAGTCGACTAACCAAGAAAGTCATCATGTAAGTAATCCACATCACAAGATGCACTTCCATAGTGTCAAATTCACTGTTGGTTCATAAAATTGTACCATTTTTTAATCCATGTTTGATTCACATCACCTGAGTTGCTCTGGCAGCAGTGGCTGAAGAACTGTAGGAACTACCAACGCAATTCAAACTTAACAGCAAACCCAGGCAAAGGTTTATGTGCTGTGAACTTATGCACAGGCTTGTGGCAACTACAAACTTTCAAGATGTCCAACAAGCAAAGCAGCTCTGTCATTTGATGTGCACCTTACAGAAAAGCCTGATGTGGCATCTAGCAAAGTGTGCTTCCTAAAGCATAACAAGTCATTGTTTTCCAATATTATAAACAAGTCAATATCAAGTCTTGCTGGCACTTTAAGCCATGAGAAATAACTTTCTTCAGTCTCACCACTAAAAACTAGATTTTTAATGCCTGAAACGCAAATACTCTGGATAAAAAAAAAAAAAGCCTATTTCTAGGTAACACACAGACAAAAACAAACGCACCAAAATACAGCTATCCCAATGCACTCTTAGAGCAAAATAAAATATTAGTTATTTAGTTTTTAGTCTTCTCTCTTTCTAAAATCAAAAAAAAATTGAAATCAACAGGTCTGTTGCTGATTTCCAGTGGACTTTTCACACAAGTTTACTTCAACTCTAAACAGCGAACACTTACTTTCATCATTGCCCAAGAATTCATGTTGCAAATCTTCAAACACTTCATTTCTTCTGGTTCCTTCTTGGACTATGGGATTTTTTTGATGAATGCCATTTTGGTATGGTTTGTAAGTCACTTTGTAGGATTCTTGAGATTGGCCACTGACAACATCAGATGCAACAAACTGCTGTAGTGACAATGCATACAGAAGAGGAAATAAAACTACAGCTGTAGGCTTGCTCAGTGAAAATAATTTTCATTTTACAGGTTGACATTAAGAAGAGCTCCAGTAGCTCGTAATTTTCAGGCTCCAGCACACCACTTAAGTGTGACAGTTTTCATAAAAGCTTCCACTTTGGGAGAGCAGTGAAGTGTCAGCTTCAATAGAGTAAGCACACACAGGAATCATAGTCATTCATTCTACATCATGGAATCCTACCCAGTCAACAAGAGAAAAGAAATCATAATGCACACATATGAAAATCCAATTATTTAATATTTCATTGTTTTAAACAGACTACAGAAGCCTCTCATCACTGTTTAAACTGATAAGAGACTACAAGCATTTAGTAATATTACTACAAATAATTAAAGACTTGAAAAATTTTCTAGAAAGAGACAGAAAATGCATCAGTTTCTGAAATACCTTAAGATGTTCCTTAGGAGCATCTGGAAAATTTATTATATTACTTTGCTGATTGTTAAATTCTGGTTTATGGCTATTTTTATATGTCCTGAAGTTTTCAGGAAGATGATACACATTGTTCTGTTGGTAGCAAGTTGGAGCATTAAGCCCATCTCTACCAAGATACACATCATCAGGATCCTCTTGACCATTCTGGCCACAGTAATCTTCTTTAACATCATATAAATGTTTCTCCTCTTCATCATTATGTAGGCCATTCCAATTCTTTCCACGTTTTTCAATATGATCATTTTGCTGGTCACACAAGAATTGTTCAGGGTACAGATTTGGGCCTTGTTCATAATCCTGAGAATGGATAAGAGGTTTAGAATTGCTCTTTCAAAACTCAGTTTTCCCCATGCCCCCAAGGTAGAAATACTTTCAGATGAAGAGCAATACATGTCACCTACATGATAATTACATCTCTAATGAATTTAAATAGTACTTAGTACGTTATTATGAACAAGCAGTTCCCACTAACTACATCACTGCTTATAGAAGCTTACATTTTGAGGATCACCTATCAATGGATGATCATTCCATCTTCCATCGTGCTTCCCAGGCTCATGTGATCTAGAGAAAGACAATCAGCTTAACTATGTACTTAACTTCAGGAAAAAGCAAAACAAAATAAACCATCTTATGGTTAAATTAAGTGGCATCTAGTTTCTCACGGAACACAAACCATACTGCAAACTGTACTACAGCTTCCCTGTTACCCGGATTGCTTTTATACTCCTCATCAGCTCAGATTTTGCTCCATTCTCAAAAGCAAAACAATAAAAAGTGGTGCAGAACGCCTTACTGCTCCTCAGTCTCATGAATACTGCAGTCCGAATAGCTGGAGAGCTGGTCTCCACTGTCCTCCAGCATGTCATGGGGAAGGTCTGTCAGCAGTTGTTGCAACTGAAACAGAAGACACAACATTCATTATGTGCTTTTCAAAAGAATGCATGCAAGAACAGACCAAAGAGACAGGTGGAACAGGCCACTTGCACAAAATCCTTTTTCTTCCCACAAGGAGAAGTTCACAACACTGAAATTCAGAGAGACTCACACCACAGAATGCTTAATAGATCAATCTAATAATAAATCTAATAAATAATAATAAATCTAATCAATCAATCTAATAAATCAAGCAAATAATTTTCCTGGCAAACTCCTGTTAAGAAAAGAATCGTACCAAAAAAAGGTAAGGGAAATGTCACCAGACACAAGCCATGGCAGTACTTTTGAAGAATGATCCACAAACTAATCATGCCAAGGTTTCTCCTCCCTAAATCCCAGGCAAGGAAAGTACTAAACAATTAAAATGTGCTCTTTCTGTATAGTTTGGGTTGAAATCCAGATAAGAGCTTGCCAGTCACTGTTACTAGATGCAAGAAGTCATCACTGCAATGATTAGTGGTCTGCTTACGTGTTCAGATGAAGTCACCATGTAACAGGAGAGGAACAGAAAAAAAATACCATCACTGTTAATTCAGGAAATAGTTGTGCCAAAAAAAACCCAAACACAAACAACCAAACCAAAACATACCACCACCACAACCGAAACACACCCAGACAAGTAATTACAGAATCACAGACTGTTAGGGGTTGGAAGGGACCTCCAGAGATCATTGAGTCCAACCCCCTGCCAGAGCAGGACCATCTAGTCTAGGGCAGGTCACACAGGGACGCATCCTGACGGGTGTTGTAACAATTCCCATATAGAACATTCCTGTTCTTCCACTTTTTAGAGAGGCTTTGATGTGGGGCCACATACTGGGCTACCTGCAGACCTGAGCTATGCACTCTTTTTTTCTCATTAGGTGACTGGAGAGCTACACAATATATTCAGAGTTATCACATGCAGTTTCTGAACCCTGGCCCTGTTTTTCTCCAAGCTCTCAAAGTATGTGTTAGTAAGAGCAGAAACCTTAGCTGGCCAATGCTAAATACCTGCCATCTACAGAAAGCTTATCTTAAATGTATCATGCTTTCTCAGATGCCCTCTAAGACCAGAAGTTAAGGACAACTTTTCTAAACATCTACAGGGCAGCAGAGCCCCATAAGTTTGTTCCTAGAAATTCATTAGTGTTATGAAGAAGTTTCCCTATCATTAGAGCATTCTCTAGATTTATTATATCTCAGCTCCGGGAAGCAGGAAAGGCAAGGCAGCATCATTCACTGGAGATTCCCTTTCCTGTGCCCTACTTGCAGCCAAGGACATACTCAAGCATCACAGGTTTCGCTGGCCTTGCACTGCTTTGGAAGCTTCAGTTCAAGAGAAAGCAGCACATAGTTTACAAAACATCATCATGAGAATCCATATTTACACTGAGCCTCCCAGGTTAGCTAGCACAGAATTGCAGATCCAGGAAAGGGTTACCCAATTCTTAAGTTAGTGTCAAAGTACTCTCCTACCATGTAAATCTCTCCAGTTTTCAAGGAAAACACCTGGTTTGCTGTAGCAGAAACCAAACTGATGCAGAAAGTCTGAGACTATTTCTTGACGAGGGAATATCGCAGAGCTTGTGTTTTAGCAGGCTAGAAGTCACATCTCACTGAACTATCTCAATGTACAGTTTTGTGAACCCCACCTCGCTCCAGTTCAAACATGCACGATCTACAAGGATTATCACTAACTTATTCCAAAGAGGCTGTTTTGCTTGTGCCCAATGCCCTTTATCCTGTCACTGAGCACCAATGGAGAACCTGGCTCCACTGTCTTTACATCCTCCCTTCAGGTGTTTATACACATTGATGAGACTCCCTCTAAACCTTCACTTCTCCAGGCTGAGGAGTCAAAGCATTCCCAGCATCTCCTTATAGAAAAGACATTCCCCTCAACACTCTTGAATTTATAATCCTATTGACGCACTCCTCACTCACCCACTGTAACAACCCTACAATCATTTCACTACTTGTTCTCCTGCACAAGCACAACGTTCTTTATCTGGGTAGTAAGTTTTGGAACAGACATCAGATTCCCTAGTGGCTGCAGTAGCTTCTTTCTAAGTTCTACTGCTGTTGTTCTACTACACGTTTTTGTGAACATTTGTCTCTACGTTACCCACACTGCAGACCGTGATCCCAGAAGCACATACTGGGGACGTTACCCGACACGAACACAATATACCACTCTGTAAGAATCCATTCTGCACATTCATGTCAAACATTTTGCCAATTCTTTTTATGAAGCAGAAAGAGCAGAAATAAAGTATTTCCACTCGAAGGAAATCCCAAAACATTTGAATATCTTTTTCTACATATTAAAGTAGGTAATTTATAATCAGAATTTTTAAAAAGGTTCCTTATTCTTTTCTAAGCTACACAAATTTTCAAGTGAAAGAGAGCTGTTGTTTTCCAAGTATTTGTAACAAGTGAAAAAGCTGTCAAGAAATGCAAAATGTGACACCAGACTTTTGTACTCGATCTATGGCATAGACAAGAAGTCTTCCAGCCACTGCACATGACACAGCATGACTCTTAGGATGCAGCATCCCATTACCTCTACTTTTTATGCCACTCTTGCAGAGCAGTCTGCACTTCGTTCTGCTCTTAACAGAGACTGCATAAAACCTTCTTTTTTCTAAAACACTTGACAGAGAAAAATGGGAAGAAGATAGATACACAAGCCTTCAGATTAAATAATATGTTTTTTTCACCTCTTGTTCTCTTGCATAATCCTCTTGGTCATAGTCTTCATCTTCATGTTGAGTTTGTAGAGCTCCACTATCAAAGTCAAGGGACATTGTTTTCTAATAGTGTTTCTCAGTATCCAGTAAAACCTATCACAAGACAAAAACGTCATACATGTGTAGAAGTGTGAAAGGAAGCAAAAAGTAACACTCTCAGTTCCTGAATTAAGTAGCCAAACACAAAAATACCTTTTTTGAAAGAAACCTCACACATTACCTCTATCATTCACTTGAACTTTTGTTTCTTGGTATATCCAACACTACTTGTTTCTAAGAATTTAGAATTTTTAACAGATTATTTTGCCTTTTCATATGATGACATTATTAAGTTATTGATGTTCACTTACAAACAGGTATTGTTTTCTTCAAGTTCTAACAGTGTAGGTGTACATAGACTATGACGTATGTTGATAGTTACATACACTTTCAAATCTTACTTCATTTATTTCTAAGGAATAACTACATTTTGTACCAAATACTGAATGTATGTTGCTGCTTATGTGCTTGGGTAACAGCTCTGCTAAAAAAAAATGGGAAAATGATAATGGAAATAGGAAAAGTATTGTGTCAGTTCCAGAGTTAATTGTTGAATGAACAGAGTCAGACTCTCCAGGACTCTCCTGTACTGAGCAGAGTTCACAGTGAACTACAGCGTGTAAGTGCTGGCCCACGTATGGTCGCAGGATAAGCTACTACCTGATGGAAAGATCCTCCTTGACAGGCAGGTATGAGCCAGAAACGGCTGATAAAGATTTTCTAGAACGACCCGTTCTCTGAACATGCAGGTGGAGCACACGCTGAAGCCCGCTCAGGATAAAGCCAGCTTTACAAGGGCCTTCTTCCCAAGTCAAAAGCCATAACGTGTCGCTCCATTATGCCTAAAGGGCCTGCTTGTGCGCTGATTCCGAAGGAAGCTCGAACACGGTTCGCAGCAGCCCTAGCAACGCCAGCCCCCCAAACAGCAGGGCGCACAGCGCGGCGGCGCCGCTCGGCCATCCTCCCCCATCTCGCCCCGCAGCCGCACCAGCGCC